CCGCCCGCTGCAGGACAGGCTGCGGTTAGGTGGGAAGGCGGGGCCTGCGGACTGGCTTGGCTTCCCCGGAGGAAGCCAGGGTGAGTAAGGCAGCAGGAATTCGCTTGGACAACCCCGCCCCCACTGCGGAAAAACAACCAGACTCAAAATGCTGATAAGAATTCTTTTATGTTATTCCAATAAAAAATACATTCATACAGAAATATAACAATCTTGCAAAAAACAATTTCAAATAAAATCTCGTAAAACAAAATTTTACAAAAATCTTACAAAGATTCTTTAGATAACAGGGTGCTTCCAAAAAAAGAAAAAAAAAAAAGAAAAAAAAAAGAAATTTCACTAATAGAAATTTTTTTTTTAAATTTCAAGCAAAAAGTTTCTGCTTGATTGAGGCTCGGTTATCACCTGAACAGAATGTACTTCTTTATGTACTTGCTTATTATGAAAATTACAGGCATGGACACATGCGGCACCCAGCCCCACCCAGGAAAACGACTCCTGGTGTTTGTTTCTAAGTGAGACAAGCCAGTGCAAGTTTTTTTTTTTTTGTCTTTTGTTTACCTTCTTGCTTCATGGAATTGTTATGGCTATGCACACAGCAGGGCCAAAAAAGGAGTTTTCCAAAATCCAGCGAATCAGGTGCTTGGATTTTGAATTGCCAAACAGAAAGTGCATTTTTCCCCAATCAAAATGAAGTAAGCTTAGATAAATGTATTCATCAGCTCAGATTTAAGAAAACCAGTTACGTGAGCTTTAATCACTGCTCATTTCCAGGAAGATCAAACAAAACACCAGCTCAGCCAGACTCTCTCTCTCTCTCTCTCTCTCTCTCTCTCACACACACACACACACACACACGTACACGATCTAGACCCACAAGCAGGAAGCTGGATGCTGGGTGAAATGTCAGCTCCCGGTGCTGTGTGGTATGCCAATTTGGGGAAACTGTTTACATGCTGGAAAAAAATAGCTTTATCTGCATAAAAAGTGTCTACAAAAGAATCCCTGTGATCAGCTCACTCTTAGGTTAGATCTTCTAATAAGGCTGACACTCAGCTCCACGCCGTGGTGCATGAGTTGGCCGGTGTGCCAGGGTTCAGCCTGTGTACTACTGCAGGGACACAGCGCCCCATTCCGCACCTGCCCGTGAGGACAACAGTGGGCAGCTGGGGATGGACTCCAGCAACTCATCAAATTAAAGATAGAGCCTCTATGAAACTTAGGTTACAGTTTGCATTTTTACCTCCTTTATGGCCATTTTGAAATACTTCACAGACTGTAGAATTTTCTAGCTAAACATTCTAGTTTCTCCTTAAAAAAAATATTTATATATTATCTATATATATAATATATATACACATACACATACTATACACACAAATATACATACACAAGAATTCTGCCCACTTTTTAAAAAAAGTAGTATCCTTTCTGTGTTACCAACAGATAGCTAGATAGATATGTGAAACTTGTGCCTTTTAAGCAAATACATTGACATTGGTTTTTTAATACTTCTGTATCTTTAATATGTGTGAAAATGTTACATATTAAATACAGCCGGTGTGTGAGCTATACAATTGTTGTGCAAGGTCTCTATGAAAGTCTCACGGTGGCAGAATTGGTCAGATTTTTTTCAATTACCATGTAGGTTGTTTCTTCCCCATTTTAACACTGACAGTCATATGGTCTAAAATATTGAACAAATACCAACACATCGAGGGAATTTTCATCTATTTGTCTTTGTGAAGGAGGACCTTAAAGAGGTTCTTTTTTTTTTCTTTTCTTTTTTTTCTGAATTATACATTGATACAGTACAATGCCAGGTGAAAAAAGAGCCTTAATAAAGCATGCACCACCCATACCCCTGTATGAGACCCCTGCATGGGGTCACCTGCATAAGGCACCATTATGAAGGTCAACAGTGCATTAACAGCTAGAAAACCAGAAATTAGTCCTCAAGGCATAAATAAGAGAAACATAGCTGCATGAGAAAAACAGTTTCCAAGCTTTAGTGGTTTTATTCACCCAACTGTGAAAAATTTTCGGTTCCTTCTCAGCCTAATGGAACATCAGGACCAGCAATCTCCAGCCCCAGTGTTTGGACACTCGGCCCACATCCAATGTCTTCAAAGGGCGTCACAAAATTCTCCAAAAAGTTATTTCAAATTCAAAAACTTCTAAAAAATAACCTTACACTGCTCAACACCTTTCCGGAAGGGGAGTGTTACAAAATACAAGGGGAAAACTGTGTCTTGCCAGGCCCTGATGGCTAGGGGTCACTGTATTAGACAGACTGTAACTTAGCTGCTTGTTAATCAGAATCAAGATTGCAGTCTGGATTTTAAAATGGAAAAGCATATAGTTCCCCAGACCATGCACGACTTCTTGTACTATAAGGAAAAATTATCATTGTGTTCTATTTGTAAATACAGCTTATACAATGGGTTACAAATGAGCTCTGTTGTAGCAAGTAAACAAGCTACTTGACACATTGCACGTTTAATAGCTGCACCAGACACCAAAGTTCCTCTCACACAGGAAAGGGGAAGGGGCTCCCCGCCCACATCACTCGCCTCTCTGGGGTCCTGAGTTCCCACTCCCACCCTCCTTTTTTTTTTCTTTTTTTTGTTTTGTTTTGTTTTGTTTTTGTATTTTTCTAAGGTGCGGACACCCTCCCAGGAAATCACCGGTGGTCTCATCTCAAGGTATACTTCTTACACACAGCACATTCAAACTGCTTTTCTCCTTCGTCTTGCAGTTGTTACCACAAGGGAAGAAAGCCTGCCGCATCATACAATCAGTAATAGATCCTCAACATACAGTCAGCCCAACCACTACATTCTCAGTGCGCATGCTCACGGCCAGGGCTCGGCGCCTCCCAGAGGGTCAGGTACCAGTGGCGAGTCCAGGGTCACCCAACACCATGCACCACAGGTGGTAATGCCGCTTCTGACGTGACTTGTTAGCCCTCAAAAGGCCTTTCAGAGAGAGGCCCTGGAGGCAACTGGGTAGGGTGCAAAATGGCATGCTTTGGCTGGAACGCGCATCCTCCTTCCGTGGCTGTCTCTCAGCCCGGAAGCCTTTTAGCCCACAGGATTCACCCCTCCGCTCCCTCAGAGGTGCCTCTTCATGTGCAGGGCCAGGTGGTCAGACCTGGAGAAACACCTGCAAGGGTAAATCAGGAGCAGAGGTTAGGTTTCCTTCCTAGCGCACGTTATGGACTGGGTGCCTCATTTCCCTGTGCAACCCAACCCAGCTCCTCGGGATGATGGAAAGGTGGAGCTCTCCTCTTATCCAGAACTTCAGAGGCAGCAGGCCTATCTTAGAGGAACGTGAGTTAAGGAGGTCCCTAGTGAGCACTAGAAAGTTCTTTGGAAAATCTGAATGGACCTCATCTCTCCTCCTCCAAACCTGCAAACTGCTGAAGGCCAATCTTCAAAGAGTGGATAGAAAATCACTACATTCTCATGTACATCTGGGCAGTGCTCCCTAACATGCACATGGAATACATGAGAGGCTTTCTCAAAGTGCTACAGGCTTAAAAAGAAATGTCAACAAATGGCTAGAAACTGCTGGCCTTTCCAAGGTCCAATGCATACCGGCTCCGTCCTGTCACTGCATCCCACAACCCCAAGAGTCTCCTCCCCAGAGCCTCGTGCACGTACCTGTCACAGTGAGAGCACTTAAAAGGCTTGGCACCGGTGTGCTTCCGGAAGTGTCTGGTTAACTCATCACTTCTTGCAAAACGCCACTCACACCCTTCCCATGAGCATCTGTAAGGCTTTTCTCCTGGGAAGAGAGCACAGGACAAGAGTGCTGTGACTTCATCAACAGATTCAACAACACACAGGCGAGGTTCAAGTTCAGGCTCCCAGCGGGTTCCAAAACTCACAGTCTATGTTAATTAAGGACAGTATCTGCCAATCTAAAGGTAAAAAGGCTGGGTCTTTCCTAACCTAAACTCAAGTGCCCTAAGTGTTGTCTGAGAGACACAACGTTGGTTGGGAAAGCCCATGCTGCCAACATCAAAGTTAACATACAGTGACAATGACTCAACCTGGTCCCTGGTCTTAGGGCCAAGCTTTATTGCTTTCTCCATGGGAACTATTTCCCTTCAAGCACTCTTTCACTCCTTACTCACTTCCCTGGGGAATGAGTCTGCTGTTCCTTCTGGGACCTTCTACATTGGTACAAGACTGAAGTCATGAGTTTCTGGGAAACTTCATTCCAAGGCTTTCAAATCACTTTCTAAATGGCAATCAAATGACTAAGTTGACTTCATCCTTTGGCCAAACTATAAATATGAATTCAGCAAAAGTGCTAATAATAATATGTTTTAAAAAGAAGAAACAACACATTGCCACTCCAGAAGAACACTGCCTGGTTTTCCTGATACCTATGCCCCTCAGCTGCCTTCACGCCCTACGGCCATGAGTCCCCAGCTACGAGGGTCGCCTCTGTGTCCTCAATTTGAAATGTTCTGTGACTCCGGCAGCCAGCCCTGGGGTCCTTTCTGGTATTTTTAAGTAGAACTTTCATCTAAGTTGTGGAATTCCATTCAGATATCACTATTCTATTAAGTACTGTCAGAAAAAATGGCTATGTGTGACGGTGTCCTTGATAAATGGCCACTGGCCAGCATGCCGCTCGGAGCTGACGGCCCCACCCAGGCCGCACACGACCATCACCGATGTGAACTGCCCGGGTACCCCGCTCAGACCCGGGAGCCCCAGAGAAGGGACAGCACTCAACGCAGCACGCTGCAAACGCACGGGCAGGTCGGGCGCTAGCCTGGGCAGTCTCCGTGTCTGTGGAGAACAGGCGCCAGCCTCTCGACTGTCTGGTCCCACACCATTAAGTTTCCTCTGATCCAACTGTCCAGTCTGTGGGGCTCTACTGTGAGCTCCGAAAAGACCTGCTCTCTGGTGGGGAGCTTGGAGAGAGGCTCTGTCCACTGTGACCACATCCTGTGGGGCCCTGGTCCCTCCCAGGGCGGCGCGGCTCTGTGGCGCCCACCAGCGGCCAACCTCCCGGCTCCCAGGTGGGGACTGACCTGTGTGCGTGCGCTGGTGTGCTTTCAAGTGGGAGCTTTTGGTGTAAACTTTCCTGCAGCCATTAAAGTGGCACCGGTGTACCCTCCTCCTGCCGTCCGGGGAGGCGTCGCCGCTCCCCTTGTCCCCCGGCTTCCCGGAAGTCCCAGAGCGCACCTTTCCTGGTGGGGGTGAGGGCAGCTCTCCAGGCACACAGCCCCAAAGCTGGGAAGGCTCTCGGCTCAGTTCTGGGGAAGAGGGGGGTGTGGAGGTGACGGAGGAGCTCAGGTTCCCTGAACCGACTAACACTTCGCTGATGGGGTCAGAGGTAAACTTGGTCGTGGGGGAGAGCTCCTCCGAGCTGTCGGAAGACTCGCTACTGACGTCGGAGGTGAGGCTGCTGGTCTCCAAGCTGTAGTGGAAACTCGGGCTGACCAGGGGTTCCTCTGGGGGACCAGAAGAAACCTTCAGTTCCGAGTCCTCCTTCTTCTCCCGAGCCAGAATGATTTTGGTCCACAGATCTTCCTGGCTGTCGAATTTGATTTCTGAGGCTGAGACATAGCACGGCTCACTCTGGAGGTAGCGTTCCAGTTCCAGGCAGGTCTGTGTAAAGTGAAGCAGAAGACGTGTGACGGCTGTGACAGCTGAGTGGAGCCAAAAGCACATTTCCAAAAACATGCAAAAACAAAGGACAGATAGACGACTGCAGTGTCACTCACTGTGGGCACAAAGCCGCCTATAATTAGAAGCTGTGTCCCTATGAAAGCGAGAGGAAGTGCATTCCTAGGAACAGTACGAGTTCAGAAGGAAAAACAGGGTGAAACCTCTCGGCTTCCCCAGTGTTAGCCACAATGAGTGACGGTGGCTAAGCCTGTTTTGTTGTTATAGTTACAAGTGTTGACGTTTCTAATGAGTTTCCCAAAAACTACACAAAGAAAATCAGCCTCACACACATCCCCCCAACAGGTTGAGCCAGCTCCTCTGACATTCTCAGGAACCATGTGTACGAGAGCCCAGCCATCCACCTCACAGCCACAGTACCCACACACCAGCACAGAGACGGCACGGCACACGGGGCTCTGGCAGACCCCCTCGGGGACACAGCTGACAAGGCAGGGCCACACTCAAGGCAGCAGACAGCAGCTGGCTGTCCTACTCAGGGACATCAATGGAGCTGCAAAGAAACCACCCATTTCCTGTGTAGCCAAGACCTAGTATGTTTTCAAAGAATGCCAGGCCCCAGTGCAGGGCCATGCACGCTGCAGAACTTTAATTACGTCTACAGTGGTCAGAGAGAGATGAGAAACTTCAACAACAGGAGTGGGGGAATCGTTCCAGAATGGCCATCTGCTATTGTGAAGGGTGCAAGGGGTAAATTACTCCGCAGCCCTGCTGGGAGTCCCACAATGAACAAGAACTTTATCTACTGGCCAAGAGTACAACTGTATGAGTCATCACTCCTCTTTCTTTCACGCAATGCCAAAGGAGACTTCCTTTTGAAATTCTGACCAGCAGCCAAATAAGGACTGGGTTCAAATATACATGCAGTGTGTCATGGACAGGGCCCCCCCAGCCCCAAGACCAACCTTTCAAGAAGCTACAACTGCCGAGATCAGCATCCCCTCTCCCCACCATCTCAAACTTTCTAGCCACTGGAAAAGAAAAATGGTAGGAAACATTTTAGGATCAAATTATGTCTGCCCCGATGTTCACCAGGTTGCCTGCATGTCCATATAAGGCTGTCTGTGCTACTGGCAATCCTACAGATTTAAATTTTGACACCAAACTGCTCTTTTCAAGGCATCATTTTCGGGGCGCGGACCATGGTGAGCGAGCACAGACCCGCAAACGGCTCCCGATCCTCCCGATCCTTCGCAATGTGCCTCCTATCCTGACACGGCCACGGCCTGCCTGCGCCGCGGACTCTTCACGCAGCAAGCAGGAGCAAGCAAAGGGGCAGAATCATTGTTTTCTTCCCTCCCTCAAATTAGATGTCTGACTTACAATGCCTACTACGGTGTTTTGCAGAGAGGCGGCGAGACGTTTTATTGATGTTCCAAAGCAAAAAGCAAGCACACTTATCGAGACCCTGTTAAACTTTAATAATCTGGCGAATTTAAAATCTCCATTACGCTGATGAGCGCCGGGGACCTGAACGAAGCTGAGAGTTTAAAAGCCTCTGAAGGCAACCGAGAGCCAGGTCTGGCTCGGATCCCAAATCCCAAATGCCCGAAGGAAACTGCTTAGATCAATTTCAACCACGTCCCAGTGTGCAGCTTGGGGGGGGGGGTTGTTGTGAACAATTAAGCTGGCATGAGATGGTGCAACACTGTGAATTTCATCCTCCTTTAAAAGCTTTCTAGGCTTTGAAACCCACGGAATAGATCTGATCTGCTCATTCGCTCTGACCAAAAATAAATAAATAAAAATTTAAAAAGGCAGCACAGCCGGGCAGAGAAACACCAAATCCTCTTTTTTTGTTCTTTTTAAAGACAACGGGACAAGTGTTAAGGAGTCTCTCCTCCTTCAATCAATCCTAAGAATGAGAACGGGGGCACTGGTTAAGTTTCTTAAATTTCCGATGCCCCAAATCCTGCTTCCCTTGAGCCGCCGGAAGCCGCAGCTCGGGTCGAAGTCGGCGGGGCGGGCGGCTCGCGGCTGTCATA